ACTTTTTATATTTGATAATTGTAAACTCAGTCAAGCATTCGAATTCTGACTAAATGTTAAACTATATATCCAGATATTTTTTAATCATTTCACCCCAAGCAAGGCAATAAAGCTACTAAAACACAAGGGGGATACTGAGAGTTAGAGAATTACGAATAAAAAAAAACTATTCAAGATAGAGAGAGAACAAAAAAAAAAAAAACAAGAATTAAGAAAACATTGCAAAGTAGACTGGGAATCAAGAAGCAGGAAGAGACAAGCGTTTACTGGGTGTGGAAGAATTAGAAACAGAAACATAAACATTATTAAGGGGCAAGAACAAAAGAAGAATAACCAGGTGGACAGTAGACAGCATTTGAAATTGCATTTACATTTTTGTAGATTAAAGTTGTCTAGAAAGCAGGAAGCCAGAAGGAAGTTCTACAACCGAGAAGTTCAATAGAAGAAACTGCTAGCATAGAATTAATGGTTACATCTATCTATTTCAACTGTAAAATGATGAGATATTGCTACCAATTTAGTACTGTGATTAAGTGATAAAGTCTAGATATAAATCCAAATACTTATATATGTGTACATATATATATATATGTACTGTTTTGTAAAAGATCCATTTCTTAGAAGATAACGTATTTGTCCTGCGTGTATATATATATATATATATATGTAAGCAAATGTAAATGGATATGGATCCGATAGAATGAAGAAAAATTTGGAAAAAACAAACAAAAATCCTTAAATGCAATTATGTTGTTTAAAATGAATGAAATGTCGACGTCTGACGTTTCGGTTTAAGAAGGTTTATTAAACCGAAAAGACGTCGAACATAATGCATTTTTTGTTTGTTTTTTTTCCAAATTTGTCTTCATATATATATATATATATATATATATATATATATATAATAAAATGGATTAAGTACGACCATCATTTAATATATTTTCTGTTTTTACGTTATTTTTATAGATTTAATGTATTTAAGTAAATGCTATTTTTAATTAAACAGTACATTTAATGGCCTCTATTTTCGAGAAATTCTTGTTGGAGAGTGCATATTTTTCACGAAATTTCTCGAATATTCAGGCCGGTAAATGTAATTAATACTATTTAATTAAACAAAATAGAGTATTTACTGAAATAAATTATTTCTATAAAAACAACATATCAATAGAATATATATATATATATATATTATATATATGTATATATATATATATATATATATATATATATATATATATATATATATATATATATATATATATATATATATATATATATATATATATTACAATGAATCACAAAAAAAGTAAATTAGTAAAGTTAATGATATAAAATTACACAGCTTATAATTTTAAAAATGTTTTCATTATAATAAAAATATAGCAATATATATATATATATATATATATATATATATATATATATATTAAAAATATGTGGCGCAGTTCAATTTATATTACAATCAATCATTCATACAAAAAGTAAATCAGTAAAAGTTAATGATATATAATTAAACGGCTTATAATTTTAAAAATAAGGATCATAACATTTATCAAAGTGATTAGTAGGTTAATGCATCTTTAAAATTTCGTTAGCAAAGGGATTTCGCCATTTTATATTATTAACTTTACTAATTTACTTTTTATAAATATTCATTATAATATAAATTAATTGCCATATATATATATATATATATATATATATATATATAATTATTGCTATATTTTTATTATAATGAAAACATTTTTAAACCACTACACAAAAGCTTTCATGTTTCAATATTATAATTGTACTTCTTCAGGCGATGCTAGGTAACTGTTCATAAAATGACTTTTAAGAAATTTAGAAACAAAGTGTTACCTCTTTTCCGAAAGTTAAAGGTGGGAGGGACATAAGTTTAGAATTAATTTTAACCTTATGTTCCTCCCCCAACCTTAACTTTCGAAGGTTATTTAACACATATTCGGTGCATTAGTCTTCATCGTAATGATTCTGAGAATAATTTCGAATTGCCAAATGCTGCTTTACTTAAAAGAGAAATCAATTTATTAAGGCAAAAACGTATAGAAAGTGCACTGATTTATGGCTCTATCACAATAGATTTGTTCTTAGCACACCTCACCTTTCTTAAGAAATCTACTGCTTTCAGTAACATCGCTCTCATCATTTGGTATATTTAAAAACAAGAGCTATAAAACAAAAAGTAAAGCGTTGGAAAGCTACAAGTCCCAACACATCATGCGACATCAAATTGAAATTTATAGTTTATCGTCACGACATCTTCAACGTTTTTTTCAATATTTAACAGACATCTTTGTTCATATTTTCGCCCCTTAGTATAATCCTATCATATTCACGAATATTTTCTCGTGGATTACAATCAAATGAGTCAAGAAATGCACTGTAACAGTGAAAATCACTTCTATTTCCTCAGTATTTTCCATATATTTTTGAGATTATCATTATCATCAGGGGTGCAACACTTAGTTTTTGCCTTACCAGTTGCACCCATGATGATGATCTCAGAAAGAGATGGAAAGTACTTGGGAAATAAAATTGATTCTCACTGGTACAGTACATTTCTTGACTCATTTGATTGTAATACACGTAAAAATATTCGTGAATACGAAAGAATTATGCTAAAAATAAGCAATGTTTGTAATTTATTTAATCAGACGTACCTAAAAGAGCATTTTACTTTTAGAAAGTTTTGGGAAGGGTTTCTCATACCAAAACAAGGACAAAAGTCCATATAAGCGATCATGAATCCCGTAACTCATTAAGAGTCGTATGGCCACTACATGGGCAAGATCGCCGGACGGAGCCCAATCCTCTCCAGGCCGGTTTGAATTCAGATTTTTCCTTCTCCTACACTTATTGACACCCAAGGCTATAGAACCTAGTCCGACGTGCTATTGACTCATTACTCAGCCGTGCCTCCATCCATATAAACATATGTCCGCAAATTCTTCTCTTTTGAGTTATTAAGTTTAAAGAAAGTTTACGGTAGATGGCGCTGTGTTGTCATGTAGACTAGGTCACATTTGTCATTCGTGTACATTTGTGGCTGAGAGGCTGCACGGCTGTATCATATTGCGTTTCCAGACCGAAAGCAGTCAATTCATCCAACCTTTGCTGCTGTTTATCGTCGCGTTGCTGAGACAGGATCCATAGCACCACAAACTATGGATCGAGAAAGACCGAGATCCGCTCGTACTCCTGACCACAAAGAACACATTCTACAGGCTGTCAGAGACGATCCGGGTATCAGCACACGTCAAGTAACCCTAGCATGTCGTACATCTCATAGTACTTCAAGAGCAAAGTGTGCAGGGTCTTTCGCCCTTTGATCACTCACCACGGGAAAATTTTTGTCGATGTTTTATTGGACGAACTGCCGATCAGTTGTTTGTCTCTTCAGTCTTGTTTGCGTATGAGGCAACATTTGGAAGAAATGGAAGAACAAATTTATACAAGCAATATTTGTGGGTGGATCGGAATGTCTATTGTACAATACAGGAAAGACATTAGCATCAGTTTACGATTAATGTGAGGGCTGGAATTGTAGGTGACTGTCTGATTGGTTCATATGTTCTCTCAGCACGTCTTCCAGGATCTGACTACAATGACTTTATTTCGGACACAGTTCCAGACCAGGTAGCGGATCTACCCCTGCTAATACGAAGACGCATACGGAGATATATGATGAAAGTGAATTTATAACAATAATAAATATACATTTTGTTCTACACCGGAAGTACCACGGGTGTAAAAAAACGTGTATGTACAGTATATATATATATATATATATATATATATATATATATATATATAGAGGGGGGTTGTGGAACAGACACACATACATATATGTCACACATGAAATGGACAAAGTCCGACAATTTTTAAGACATTTTTTTATGTTTATAATAAACAGTATTAACAACATTTACCGTCCTGAATGTCCGAGAAATTTTCATAGAAAATATGCGTCCTCCGACAGGAATCGAACCTGTATCCTATACGGAGCCGTGATATAGCCTGACGTGCTTTTACCGATTGAGCCACAGAGGAGCGTTACGGTTTGTAAGGTCAATTTTACTGTTTTTGAACTACAATTCTCCATGATTTTCTCTCATACATTCATATCTGCTCGATGCGTATCCAAATGTAAACAAATGACGTCACACATTATGAAATGGACAAAGTCCGACAATTTTAAGACATTTTTTATAATTATGCGTTCTTTTTATAGATGCAAATATTTAAGTAAATGCTCTGTTTATAATAAACAGTATTAACAACATTAATCGGTAAAGGTGGCTCAATCGGTAAAAGCACGTCAGGCTATATGACGGTTCCGTATAGGATACAGGTTCAATTCCTGTCGGAGGACGTATATTTTCTATGAAAATTTCTCGGACATTCAGGCCGGTAAATGTCTTATAAATACATATATGTGTATGTGTGCGATATTATTTAGAGAGAATATTTATTTGGCTAAGCTTCTTAGAAAACACATCCATGACCAAAAATACTTTCCCCCGTATTTCTATGTGGATTATACACCTGAGGAAGACCGTAGAATGGATCGCTTAAACGATTTGGTAACAACGAAAAGAACAAGGATTCCTATATTTCGAAAAATCCTTACACTGATAAGGCTTCATTTTAAAACTTGTCTTTAATGTTATGGTGATTTTGTAAGCGTAGCTTAGATGTGGCACAAGACCGAACGTATGGACCACTCAGTGAGGATCGAACTCACTATTCAGTTGGAAGTGCTCCAGCGAGACAAGCTTCCTAGCCTTACATCACGTCGAAGAGTTCAATGTCTTGAACGTTAGCAATGAGTTTAGTATTGTAATATTTCTGATTTCTGATCATTTGTTTTTAATTATTTCATCAAAATGAGTTTTACAAAATGGAGATAAAATTTAGTTATACATTGAAAATAATTGTATATAATATAAAAAGAAAACATTATAATTTACAATAGTTTAATAAGACAAAAAAGAAACGAAAAGAAAGAGAAAGACAGTCAGAAGAAAAAACAATGTCAAAATGAATAATAATCTACCAGCATGCGAACGAACGAAAGAAAGAAAGAAAGAATAAAACAAAAAAGAAAGAAAATAAAAGTAGGAATAAATGTAAAAAAATAAAAAGGAATAATAATCCAGTAAGAAAAAAGAACGAATTATAATGTACGAGGGAAAGAATGAAGGAATAAAGGACAGAGCAAAAAAAAAAAGATGAAGAAGAAGAAAATAAAGAAAGAAAGAAAGAAAAGAAGAGCGAATACTAAATAAGATAAGAACGAACGTAAGAATGAAAGAAAGAGTAAATAATAAAAGGAAGGATAAAAGCGAAAAAGTAAAAATAGAAAGACAACGTAGAGAATGAATAGCAAGAAATTAAAACGTTAACGAAAACGGAGAGATAAGAATAATCAATTAATATGGAAATTATTAAAAAGAAAGAGAAAAACAAAGAAAAATAAGCTTAAAAATATGAGACAAATGTGAAGTAAACTAAATTCAAAATGACTCACCTATAGTCGCAATAGTCAACATCCAATGCACAGGAACTTAACCTAAGAAAGAGAAAAATGTTTGCAAATGAGAAAAAATGATCAATTCTTTATCATCGAAAAAATCTTACATTCTGATTATTAAAAACGATATGTTTACACGACAGGACGTTGGATTGAAAAGTGGGAGACTAAATTAATCCTGGCAGAACAAAGAATACAGAATCTTATTCATCTCTCCTGACCAACCCAGAGCGTAGCGAGAGGATACGGAGTAAAACGGTATCACATCACACAGGCGTTAAACTTGCAATCCACAAATTTTTCTGTTCCATCTAGCATCATTTCGTTCTTTTAAAAAAAGGGATTCTCTCTCTCTCTCTCTCTCTCTCTCTCTTACTGACCCTCTTAGTCATTCTTTCACTTTCTTTCGCCCTCTCTCTGTCGCTCACACTCTCTCTCTCTTGTTCTATTCCACCACATCTCACAAGTTCACTCTCATTTTTCTTGTGTGTGTGTGTGTGTGTGTGTTTTTTTTTTTTTTTGTTAATTTGATTTAATTGAACTATTCTTTTTTCCTGCTTGTTGTGCATTCGCTCTCATTCGTTTGTGTTGTGGAAGCTTATTGACCTTCACTATGGCTCCCAAGCGTAGTGTAAGCTCTTCCGATGGCGGTGCTGTCATACGTCGAAGCGCCTATATATATATATATATATATATATATATATATATATATATATATATATATGCGTTTGCGTGTGCCTGTGTGAATGTGCATCTGTATAGACAGATATTAATAAATTTATAGATATCAATAGATAGATAGGTAAATTGATAGATAGACAGATAGACATAAGAAGGTTCAGAAAAACGTCTCGGCTCAAGCCACTTCTGAAAAACCTTTCATCGCCTCCATAAATATACACCATTTTTCGCTCAAAAGTTAAGTTTTACAACTGAAAAGTAAATTTTACAAATGAAAACTTGTTTTTTTTTATCAAATATAAAATTTGGTAAATGGACAGTATTTAAAAGTTTTAGGAGTTAAAAGATATTTTTAAAAAAAAGAAAATCGTATTCTGCATTTCTGAAGATTGTTGCGCGCATGCTGGACTCTCCCGTCATAACCGACGTGTGAGGGTCAAGCAACTCAGTTCCTAGGAACCGACAGCCCAGACACCCAGCACATATGATTTGATTATAGTGGTAAAGGTTTTGTGCAGAGCCAACCACACTTTTTGAAGGGCTGAATACAGAGACCTGGTGCACCACCTGCCTCAAGTCCCCAAACGACCCTCTGCAGGTTTTGAATTCAGAGTTGTCCTTCTACTAGACCAGTTGCCATCCAAGGCTATAGAACCCAGTCTGTCCTATTTACCCATAGCTTGAGGGGAGAAGATATACCTTTTTCCAATAATAATAAAATAATATATATATATATATATATATATATATATATATATATATTTAATAATAAACAAATCCTTATAATTATATTGCTCTGTAAAATTAAATAAAATACATCGAGCTCTTTTTTGTGGATCAGTTCTAATATATTATATAACTAGGATAATGTTCGATTATACACTAACAATTTCTATTCTCTCTCACACAGACACACACACGTATATATATATATATATATATATACATATATATATATATATATATATATATATATATATATATATATAAACCATCAATGAGTCAAAACTGGGCAGGGGACGGTCTGTTTCATGCTTGAAAGCAATCTTCAAGGCATGAAGTTGGTCGAGCCTGAAGATAATGTCCTAAAGCATAAAACGGACCGTAACCTCTCTTTTGACACCAGTGTCCACTATTATATTAATATCCATGATATTGAGCACTTTTATACATTTAAAACTATATATCTTATCATATATATATATATATATATATATATATATATATAAATATTCGGTCTGAAGAGATGAGTATAATAATATTGATGAAATAAATTATAACCGAGATGGTTTTAAAAAGGTGTTTTCTTAATTTATCATCCATATATATATATATATATATATATATATATATATATATATATATATATATATATATATATATGTATGCATGCATGTATGTATGTATGTATAAATTCTCTTAAAGGTATACTTATTCAGAACCCTAATATTTTAACTGAAAAGTAATAAAGAAAATACTTTTCAAAATTTGAAAAAATATTTTTCACTTCGCTTATAAAATTTTATTTGTGCAAGTTTATATTTTCATCACTAAAAAATTCATTTTGTAGAAAAATATTACTTTTGACCGAAAATTGGAATACAAACAGGTATATGTACACACGCACACACACACACACACACACAAAATTTATTCGAAAATTATAGCATAAACATGTTATAAAATCACTATAAAAATAGCCATTGTTTTTCAACACGTCTGCTGTCTTATCAAGTGATGATGTTGAATGTAGAACCACTTGATAAGACACTAGAAGTGTTGAAACAAAATGGTTATTTTTGTAGTGACTTTATAACCTGTTTATGTTATAATTTTCGAATAAATTATATTTGCTCTACTATGTATTGAGCACTCTTTTATGACTAGTATTTTTGGTTATTGGACTTTATTCCGTATACACCAATCCTATACTTGTATGCGTATATATATATATATATATATATATATGTGTGTGTGTGTGTGTGTGTATGTATGTATGTATGTATAATAGTTTTTTTTAATATATAATCATCGCAACACCGAAATTCCTATGTTTCAAAACTGAAACTTCAATTTAAATTCCGTCATGCAAATTAAACTTAAAGTACAAAGTTCCGTCTCATTATCAAGCGATGGTAAGATGCTAAGTTTCTTAGCATCGCTTGATAATGGAACGGAACTTTCTATTTTAAGTTTAATTTGTATCATTGAATTTAAATTGAAGTTTCATTTCTGAAACATGGGAATTTCGGTGTTGCGCTGCTTATATATTAAAAAAAAAACAATTATAATATTATGCTCTACTATTGTATCGAACACTGTTTTTTAAAAATAACATAAATGCTAAGAACTCTGAATTATTAATCTCATAGTTCTTTCCTATTAATTTATATATATATATATATATATATATATATATATGATCTGATAAACAACTGGAGAAGACCTTGCTGAACATGCGTCGAAAGACACTATTCTATAGTGATATTCATATGGAAGTGAGATAATATTGCGTGAGCTTGTGCAATGTGTGGTCGTTACATTCATCCTGTTAATGCGCTGGATCACTCTTCCTATCAAGCACATTTTTTGTTGAACATTGCATCATCCTGGATTGTTTCTCATCTACAGTCAAAATTTTCTCCCCCTTCTGCCACTTCTAAATTTGACCAAAGAAACATTGTGGACGAGATTAAAGCGAACGCGACGAGACAACTGGTGGCGATCCCGACAGAGGACTGTTTGTAGACTGTTTTTTAAAGTAGAAGTTACGCTAGGATAAGTGTGTGAGCTCTTACTTTGAAGAGGGCGAGGTAGGCTATTAATATTAAATGATTAATTTCAGGTACCCCCACCCCGTATGTGACTATGGAAACGAAGACAAGTGGTTAAAAAGTTCACCTTCCGACCCTAATAGCCGGGTTCGAATCTCACCATGGACAATTTATTAGGAAAGTGATTTCTTGATGCTATCGGCATATTAATAGAAATTGGATAGACGGATCTATTCGGAGACACTCGATGGGGCGAAATCACAAGTCATCATGACCGAGGGTATGAGTGTACTAACTTTCTTTAACTGTTGATCATACCAGATTATGCGCTCTCCCAGAAACTGTAACTAAGGTCAGAAAAGTTGAACTCTGTGGGCGTTGAACAAATACAAATGTGCCTGAGCAGGCGTCTGCGACAGGGATTGGCTAGCCACGCTAGCAGACCGGTATGATCTGAAATGAGTAGCCGCCTATTATTACTTACGTGCGTGTGTAAAAATTGAGATATAAATGAAGATATCTGCAAAGACATTTTTTTAATTAATGTATGCGTATATAAATGTATATGTTGTGAGTATCAGAGATTTTAAAAACTTAGTCCAAGTTAAAGACCGATATTAATCTAAAGCAGAATTAAAACTTACAATGATATTTTATGATGGTCATACTCAACAATGAGGTGGCAATCATCTTATGCATATATATGTGCGTGTCTGTCTGTGTGTCTGTGTGCAATATATGTATGTTTGTATAACAGAAGCACATCTTTAATAAAATCAAACAAATAAAACCCACAATATGTTTCTTACCGTCGTCATAGTGATATTGATCTGCATTTTAACGTATGCATTATGCATTTAGCGCGCATGCGCGTTTTCGCGTGTTGATTCGTGCTTGAAATATTTTCATATAAATTATCTGAGACTTCAGCGTGGCGTAACTGTCCTCATTGGGTCCCTCATACTTGTGGCCCTGTACCAAGCTAAATTAAGCTAAGTAAACAACAAGCATCCAAGTTATCTACACCACCCTTTTCCAGCTCTGGTTAATAATGGACAGACACCGGTTTTAGATTTTATATCCTTTTTTAATAACAGTGATTATAACATCTCATTTTCTTTTTCTTTTTTTTTAATTCATACCCTCTCTTTGCGTTGTCACCTGCTTGTATTCTTTATGCTACAGGCCAAAATCTTCTATTGCCGCTTCGACTGTGCCGTTATCCGTCTGAGCCAGCGTCTACCGCCTGTCTGTCTGTCTCTAAAACTGATAGAAGCAGAGAAGAAGAAATG